ATCAGAGCACGGAATGTACCTTCGTGCATAAATAGTCAAAACATAGCACGGAATGACCCTTCGTGCAAATATAATCAAGAATAGCACGGAATGACCCTTCGTGCAATTTCACTCTTCCTCACCCAAATAACAGTCACAACCAAACGGGCAAGAGGAACAAACAAGTAATATGAACTATCCCGGCAAGGGAATAACACAATAACAACCAAGTCCCGGCAAGGGAACAATAACAATATCTTTCACAACCCGGCAAGGGCAATACTCACTGTAATCAAACCATCCCGGCAAGGGATTAATCACAACTCTTTTCAATACGTTCATCTCTTACTCAATGGTATTTATCACTCGAGCCAATGCTCCAAGATATTAATATTTCACAACTTGTCCTCAAACTCTTCACATTTGCAGAAAAACATGTTGTAGCTTAGAAGAGTTCCAAATTTTCTCAAAAACAAGTACAAACAAGGACCCACGGTCATGCTAGACTCCGATGTATAGACACTCGTCACCACGCCTATACACCGTACTCGATCAATTAGCAAATAGCATTTATGATACTCTAATCCTATTCCCTGAAGTCAAAGTTAGATCAAACACTTACCCCGGTCCGAAAATAGCAGTCAAGCCTCTAACACCGCCTTTCCTTTAGAATTCGACTCCAAAACAATGATATCTAATCATAATTAATTCAATAATATCAAATGAGGCTCAACAACATAATCCCATAGCCTAGAAATGAATTTCCTACCATTCTTCCAAAAATAGCAAAATCCGACACCGGGCCCACATGGTCCAAACTCGAGGCTCGGACCAAATTTCAATCACCCATAACCCCACGAGTTCAAATATATAATTTGTTTCAAGATCCGACCCCAAATTGAGGTTGAATCGCCCAAAATTTTCAAAAACCTAACTCTACCCAAAAGCCCTAATTTCTACCTTGATTTCATGTTCTTAGGCCTAGAATTTAGTGATTAGATGATAAAATAATGAGGAAACGATGTTAGGATTACTTACCCAACGAGTTGTGGAGGAAAGGGAACTTGAATTTCGTCTATGGAGGATTTGAGAGAGAGGTTCGTGTGAAGAAGATGGCAAAATCCCGTAATGGCTACTGTTTTAGGCTTCTAAAATAACTGGGCAAAATTGTTCATCGCGTTCGCGACACCCCAGTCGCGTTCGCGATGAAGGAAAATGGGCAGGCATCGCGTTCGCGTGAAGGGGAAGGCGAACGCGTAGAAGAAAATGCTGGGGG